TGAATACAGAGATGAACAAAATCACTATCACAAAAAATAATTCATATTCACTTCAAATAAACTTAGTGTCTTTTGATATAACTTTTTATTTTTACTTAATTTAATTCAAATATAAAACTTCTATAATGAAGTCTAAAATATCTCTAAACATAATAGCAATTAAATTCCATTCCTCTTATCCATGTATTTCTAGAACCACTGTAGCCATATTATTTAACATGTTTTAGGAATCTTCAGATATTTGGCATATTTTATTATACATTTCCTACATACCATTTCAGTTTCATTAAGATGGAATAATCCCTCCTTAGGTTCTAATCAAAATGTGAAAGATATTTGTTCAAGTGTAGGTTTGCTTTAGTCCTTTCTAGGATTTGAAGGAGTTTTAGATAACCCAATTTAGTTTTAGATATATTTTTTCATAGCAAGACAGTGCTTGTTTTTGGAAAGGAAAATCAGCGTAAGGATTTTGCATGATCTTTTAAAATCGGGCTATCTTTAGCGTAACTGCAAGGAAAGAGGCAACTTTGTCTAAAGTTGCTATTCCAAATTTCCTAACTGAAACCAAATTATCACAGCCCTTTCCCTGTTCAAACACACAGTTCTTGACTGTATACAACTGTTTGCTAAGAACCAGTGAACTAGAAATCAAGATCTTTGTAATCTCTTAATTTTATCGTTTAAAATGATGCCAATTTGATAGAATGGCATTCTCATTTTCCTCATTTGCTTCATTTTCTTCATTTGCAAAATTACTTTATGATAGTGGAGGGAAGCTGCATTTGGAGAATGTTTATTATGTGCTTTGAGATCATTAAAGCTGATATCACTTTGCATACCAAGTGGTGGTATTCACATCCTTAATATACTAAAGTTCTGATACAATCAACCTTTAAAGAATAACATATCATGACCATCAGTTTATGCTTACTTTCATGATGTAAATGTGCCTGCAGTAATTACTCCCTCCTCTGAAATCTTGACATGAGCATTGTGTGTGCCACTCACACTGGGACCCAGTATAAGCTATTTTCTATTGTTATTTATCTGTATATGCATATGTCCTATTTATCCAAACGGATTGTGAGTTCTTGAGAGTGGGGGCTGTGTATCCCTAGCTTCTAGCAATGTGCCTTGTGCTTAATGGATGCTTAATCAGTCACCGTTAATGATTAGTAGAATGTTCCATCATGAACACGTCCTCTCTAGTCTTCTGTACACGAAATTATTTGTGGGATTTATTCTGAAATCGGAAGGGTGAGGCTCTCAAACAGAGAGGAGCACCCTGTCACTCATTACCTCTTACATCTTTGGTAATCTTCCCATGTGCATCTGAAGTCAATTGAAAAAGAAGCTGGTAATATTTAACCATCAATGAGGTATCATATCACTGATCATTATATCTGTTTGGTTATTATTTATAAAAAGACTGGCAATAACTAAATTAAAATACCATCAATGTTTACTTTGTATAGCTATGCATAATTTTGATTCTTTGTTATTTTTATTTTTCCCAAATTCTATACAATAAAGTATTATTCTTATAATCAGAAAAAGTTAAGTTCTAAAATAGGTTTTATTTATATTCTAGTAAACAAAAGTATGGAAATTTGTAATGGTATAAATGCTATTCTACACTTTATTTTCTCATTTAAATTAAAATCTAATAGTATAAAATCTTACTGCCAGAATGAATTTTGATGAGAGTGGTACTTAATTGACAATATTTAAAAGAACAATACTTAAATCTTAATTGACAATATTTAAAAGAACAATACAGAAACACTATTTAAACTCTTTTACGATGCTTCAAATTAGCATAAGAAAACCCCATTTAATTAAAATATAAAACACAAATTTATTCACTCTTCATCTCTTGTCAGTGAAGTCTGGACTTGCATCTACCTGCCTCCATATTTAGAGGACCTGTAAAAAGGACACAGACTGTTCTTAGCCCACATGAAAACTACTATTGAATTAATCCCTGAAAGCCTTAAGGAATGTACCCACTCTGCACGTTGCTCAGTGGACATGCTTCTATAATTTCTTGGGCATAAATTTCTTACCAGCAAGAATTCAGATGGGCCCTTATTTAGTATGAAGAAGTTCAAGACAAATTTTCCCCGATGGATACTTAAAGATGTTTGTTACTGACACTGGCATACTTCATTAAGACTACTTTGGTGTCCTGATATATTCCTTCAAAATATGACCTTGTGGTGATGAGGGATGTCAAGAAACATTTGCTTAAAGTAGATTTCTAAGCAAGATGGAGGCCAGCATCTCTTATCTAAACCTGTTAGGCTTTCTGCAAGTTCTTCCTTCATCCCCTCACCCTAGCATCTGTCACGGAGGCAAAACATGATATAGAAAGAATACATTAGCACAGCTTAATATCAAAGCCTTTATCTCTGTTATACATTACTTTAGATTGTCATCATAAGTTGTTCAATCAAAAGGTTTAGTCAAAGCTAACATTCTTTACTGATGTCTTTTTTCCCCAAGAGTGTTGAAAATTCGATCGTTCAAAGTGCAAATATGATTCAGCAAACCATTTATCAGAAATCCTAAAGAAGTAAAGTAAAAAAGTGAATTGAGGAACCTGAATTAAATGGGCTTTACCAGTCAAGATTTTGAAACTACTTTTTTTGTGAGTGACTGGAATAGAGCAGAACAAAGTCAATTACTGACTGTAATTAAGAAGTGGATGCATTTAAACTGTAGAGAGCAGTAGCAGACTTCTCCAGACTGCCTGGTAACTTGAAAGATTAGTGGGAAGACAGAGGAAAGGATGTGAACTGTATCTCTCTGATAGCATGTTTTGAATGAATTGCATTTATATAGCTCTCTGATCTAGCTTCTCAAAATGAATTCGTAAATCACTGATTATGTATGATTAATGCAGTAATATATTTGGACAAAGGAACTTTTAAAATACATTTTGCTTTTGGTTGTGTTAGCAATATAAGATCCCCTTTGCATTGCATAGCATGCACCAAAAATGCAAATGCACTGCTAAAGTACTTATATTTTATCACTGTTTGAATTTACTAGACTGAAAGCTGAACTATGTTGGCTCTTTCGTAAACCCTCATAATATAGTAAATCTAATTATGTTTGTTTCTCGTACTTTTTAAATGTTGTTTCTTTTTAGAATTTTAATAATGGTTTATTTATACTGGCAGAGAAATATTACATTGTACATTGTGCTTTGGCTAATTCATTTGTCTTTGTGTATGTTTACAAATTGTGATGTTAGAAATATATTCATAATCAAAATATTTAACTACAGATTAGGATGAAGGTAGAGGTCAAGGACATTACTAGTTTTCTTGTGTTAGTTAGAAGTGATCTTATATTTTTAGATTACAATTTCTGAGGCCACACTCTATAAAGTAAACATTTGGAACTTTATCTGAGTAGAGAACATTGCAATGGCGTTCAGATAATTAGGCAAACATCACCATAGCTGTCTTTTACTGAATACATAAAACAGAAGACTGTTTTGAGCCATCCTAAATCTTATATGCAGTATCATTTTAAAAAGAGAGAGAAAAAATGATTGGCCCCAGTGATCTGTCAAATTCTAGTGTGGGCAATTAAATCCTATTATTTTTCAATCTTTCAATTCTTATAATTGCATACACTTTAGAAAGTTCCTCTCCTTACAGTTTTAGAGACCACACTTGATATTGGAACCCATCTCAATCAACAATGGTTGTTTTGCAGTACTGATTAATGTTGAATCTCTAAATAGTTTTTCTAAAAACAAATGACGAATATATGTGCAAATATGTAACAGATTTCTTTAGAAACCCCAAAATCATTGTCATTAAATGCTGCCATAGGAATCCTTGAAACCTTCAGAATGAGCCATTTGGGGTAATAATTGTCACTTTAATGACAGAATTATAGAGATGGCCTAAAGCATGATTTGTGATTTTCTGAACCTGTGCCACATTTCAGTGTTCACCTCCTGTTTAGAGCCAGGAAGGCTGAGAAGAGGTGACTGGCTCCTGATTGAGTATTTTGAAATGTCAGTCCTCTAAACCTCTGAACTCTGTGTGACAGTAGTTGGGAAATGTTCATCTTCCTGTTGCAAGAAAAAGTCAGTAATACAAAGGGAAAATCTTCACAGTTCAGATTGATGGCCAAATACAAAAAGTGTGTCCAAACCCACTCTAATCAATTTTTTCTCTAAGTAGCCCTTTATGTGTGAAACTTAGACTATTTCTCTGTTTCTATAGGGTCATATCCTTTTCTCACAAGTCTGAGGAGAAAAAGATTCACTGTAATGAAAAATACACAGTTACACGTTAAACACTGCCAACTACTTAGCAGTGCTGAGAGTCAGGAACCTGGATGTTCATTTGATAAATACTCTCCCAGAGAGGTTCAAATATATAAACGAACTTTTATTTTAATATACTTCTTTTGTGGGGAAATTGTTTTTTTTTTTTTTATTACTTTCCTATAGATCTCTGATAAGAAAGTAGAAATAATCAAATGTTATTCATCTGAATGACCTTTTGGAAGTCTGCAATTAGACTTTTTGGTAAATAATCTGTTTTAGAGCCCTCCATAAAAGGAAATAGAATATAGAGATACTATTAGATTTGAAAAGACAGACAGGAAAGAGGCAAACGTGCAAAATGAATTCTGACACACCCGGGTGCATTTTTTCTGCGGGTTCTGACTTAAGTGTGTACTGTCTGCAGTTCTCTGAACTTCCTGGCTTATTTCTCCTTAAGTTGGAGTAATTCAGCTTTAGCCCTACTCTGACTTAATCGTTCTATTATTAAAACAATAATGTATTTGTTATGACATGAAAAAACTGTTTGGAGAGAGCAGTTCAAAATGCTCCCAGTTCCCAGAAAGACAATTACTGGAATACAAGAAAATATTTCAGTGTATTAAACTGTGTTTTTTAAAAACCGATTTTTACATCTAAGAGATTTATCTTACATAATTTCTTTACCTGTCGATTTTTTGTTTTTCAGATCACAACAGTATCAGGAAATGAGTTCCTTCTACAGTCAGATATTGACTTCATCATATTGGATTGGTTCCACGCTATCAAAAATGCAATTGACAGATTGGTATGTATTTGTTTTGGCTGTTACCTTTATTAATTAAAATGTAGTCATTTAAATCTTAATGCTCAGGCATATAACACACACACATTTAAATAGATCCTATGGACTGAGAGAATTTAAGTTCTTTTAGTTTAAATAGAATCCACTAAAAACCTTTTCATCAGACAAGATTTGTAGAACTAAATGTCATTTAATTTCTCTCTTTCAAAAATGTAGTGCATTCTTACTTTTTTTTCTAAAATAACGCAGACATTCATTTACTGGAGGCTGTAAAAAGCACACAAGCACTTAATAACTACTGAATTTTTTCATTTTCAGTTTATACAGTCCATAGTGCAAATTCCTGAAAATAAATATCAATGTATTTAAGACCACACTCACTGTTATAATACCAATAAATAATAACCCTTCGTACTGATTTTTATTATTCTTCCAGCTAAGCTAGATTGTTCTTCTCATGAAAATTACATATCAAGAATTCACGAAATTATCCTAAAACATACATTCAGAGTATGTTTTTTAAGAGTGAACTTATTTAAAACCACTCATTTCATACTGAGACTCTAGAACATTTAATTTTAGAAAACTAATATTTGCAAAATTTTGAGAAAAAGTTGTTCTTAATGTGGAACACAATAGGATAGTAAAAGATTTTCTGTGTGATTTTCTTGATACTTAATTACAGGCTTTCATTGTATTCATTTGGGGACTAACACTTTATAAAGTAAAATAACAAATTAACTTTTCCCATTATCAGTAAACTCCCCTTAAAGGGGTGTGTGTGTGAATGTGTGTGAGTGCACATACATACATACACACAAGTGCACACAGTTTGTTGTCATTGAGGGTGGACTCTGGGACCAGACTGCTGGAGTTTGAATTCTGGTTATTTGCCACCTGCATGGGCTTAGCCAAATTGCTTACCTATCTTGGCCTCATTTTCCTAATGAGGAAAATAAAGATAATAATAATACCACCTACTCTATAGAATTGTTGTAATGATTAATTGAATTATGCATGTATACTGCTTAGCATTTAGCAAGCACCATATACATATATAAACTATTATTAGAGTATTGAGCTCAGCATAGAGGACCTATCCCCAAATAAATTCCTTACTTCAAATTTCCCCAAAAACACCAAAATAGACCACAAAACTATATGGTGAATCCTTTATTTCTGGTAAAATTATTTAGTCTAATTATTTGCTCTTTCCAGCCAAAGGATTCAAGTTGTCCATCAAGAAACCTGGAATTATTCAAAATCCAAAGATCCTCCAGCACTGAATTGCTAAGTCACTGCGACAGTGATATAAAAGAACAGAAACCAGAGCACAGAAAATCTTTAAGTGAGTATTTTCTTTGACTTGCTCATTTTAAGTTTGTCTAAATGCAGTGCTTATGAAATATAAATGCTTTGAAATGAGATTTAAGCCAAACTCATCGTACTCGTAGAAGATTCGTAGCCATTTCCTGGACAGGGATTCATGCACTGGAGGGCAGTCTGGGCACTTTGCTCACATCATTGTTGGTAATGCCTTTTGAGAAAATAATTGTTCCAAGGTCATGGTCTCTGCTTACAGCAAACCTCTGAATCTCTGAGTAATAGCCATGGTGTTCAGATCGGTGATTGATTTTGAGAGTGGGAAATGTCAAGCGTCTCCAACCTTGGTATCTTGACTATTTTATTTTCATACATTAAAGGATATGAGTGATCACTAGCATTGGTCTAACTTAAGTCAACAGGCTAGGCCACTTTCCATACCTACAGACCACCAGAAAGATTTAGAAACATGCTTTCAGAGAGGCTGAAAATGTGGGATATGAATTAGATGTTCTCCAAGGTCAAACCTAGTTTTAATACTCTAAAAGAATTGAATTTAGAGTAAAAAGAGTGGTCTCACTACTCTCATAATGATCTTGAGTATCATTCTTAACTGTTCCTGAGACTGCTTTTTCCTCAATGAAAAGGGGTTATAAAATATGTCACACCTATCTCATAAAGTTGCTTTGAGTCTCAACCTCGCAAAAGAAGAAGAAGACATCTTTGGAACCAGAGATAACCTATTTTCCAAGATCTTAAAAATTACAGTATTTTTGGGGTTCTTCTACCTAGCTGACCCCAATCTTGAGAATCACCATTTTTTCCCTATGTCCAAAGATCAGTATACTGACATCCTAAATTTTTGAATTTAAGGAGCACTCAGTAAGTTGAGAAGAGCTGCTAATGGAGTGTATACACACACACACACACACACACACACACACACACACTTATTTATGCTATATAATTATTTGTGTACATATACATATATCTGTGCATTAAGAAAGATATATGTATATGTATGCACATACATGCACACAAACACTCATACACATATGACAGAGAAGAGAGAAGCTATTTATATGTGATAACACATTTTCCAAAGCGGAATTACTGAAGTCTACAAATCTAGAAATTGCATGAGAACTTAAGAGTAGAAGCACCCTTTTGAAATTAAGTCTTTATGCAAAAACCCATGCCATAATTTTCAACAACTGCTAGATACATTTACTTAGTTAGTTGTGCAAGTTGGAATTTAAGATTAACAATGTTAATGTCTAGAAGATGCATGGTGTGTTTACGGAGAGTTAACAATGCCATTTTAAAAGACTTTTTCATATAATGGTACAGTTTAGAGTTATTTCTTTTAAAGAACGTTTTCCTTCCATTCCTGATCATTGTCGTCTTTTACTTCATATGGTTTGAGACATAAGCTAAGATTTCAGAATTGGGATTCAATTGGGGATATATATTTAGTGTTGATTATATAAACATTTTGTAGTACATATAAAAAAATTTGTGATGCAATGACTGGTAAATCTGGAATCTTAGATATAATTGCTGGTTTGGAGGAGACTTTAACACGTTTCTAAAACCTGAAGCTATGGAGAAAATAACGGTTTGCAAAAATGTATTTGAGAAACATTGAGGATAATGAATTCTGTGTTGAGTAACAGTCACTTTAAAAGTTTTAAGATACTGCTGAAAAAGAATCTTACAGACAGAACACTCACTACTTTTTTTTGGAATTTATTTTTAATTGTGAAAGACAATTGTTTTTCTACTTTGAGCTTAAATTCAGTTCTACTTAAAAACAAGGGAAGAGATACATGATTTATTCTATTCATTTCAAAATGTAGCTAATTGTACAATGACTTCATACTCATCTTTTATTTTGAAGTTAAAAAAATAGCTGGAAAATGTAAAAATATTTACTGTGCACCAGGCACTGTTTTAAGTGCTTGCCTTAGACTACTACATTTAATCCTCTTACCAACCCTGTGAGGTAGATACTATTAGTAACCCTATTTTATAGATGAGAAAACTGAGACATGAAGAACTAAGAAAATTTGTACAAAAACAAGTTATGGAGACATATTTCAAACCCAAACAGTCTTATTTTAGAGCCTGTACTTTTAACTATGACACTATAATAAAGTGAACAAGTAAAAGGTATACTTAGTTTATATCAACCTTAGACTTGGATAGAAATAGTATGTTAAAAATAAAATTAATAGAAATCAGTAAACTTAAGTCAGGACCCAAACACTTATTGACAAAAACAATTAAAACTGGGTGTTTTATTTCAATTTTGATTTCACTATTAAAATAATAATTTAATCTTCAATACTAGCTCTAATTTTAGAAAATGCTTCTTTTCTGTATCTTCGTGAGTATGTATAGCTATAAGCCTTTTCTTTAGGGCCACTATGTTTTTTGCAATGTAGGGCACAGTTAATATCCATCTATTACTTTGAATTAACTTCATTCAATATGTATGTATTCATTTTCATTTGAAAGGCATAATGATTGACCCACCCACACAATATCAAATTAGACCATGCAACAGTGATTGACATATTTTATATGTGATGCTTTTTAAAATATTTTTTTCAAGTAGGAAATCTGTGTGAAACCCCTCTGATCTCAGTCCTAGATTTGAACACCCAAATTTAGGTTTCTTAAAACATGCATTCAGTTTTATGTCACCCTCTGGAGATTAAATAATTATGTAGAATCAGAGACTCACAGTGTCCTCTTCCTTATTAGTAGTGTAAGCACAAACTTTATTGTCAGTTTTCTGCCTTTGGCTTCCTGTTTCCTTGATGTTCCCATAAGTTTTGCCGCCAAGATTGTAGATAGATAAAGCCAGAATTACTTTTTTAAAAGGCATGTGAACATCATTAGCAGCTAACAGGTGGTCATTTCATTGTCCAGTTTGTCTATATAACATGGGAAAAATATGTTCTCTCAATGAGTGAATTCAGAAAGTTATGTTTACATATACTTTCCTTTTAAAAAATATGATTCTAACCTGCCAACACTATTAAGAACTAATCAGATATTTTAAGATATCAGTTGAGTCTAATGGACAAGAAGCCAGAAAATTTAATGTAAGGGCCAAATCACTGTGGGAAATTCAAGACATCAGCCCGGGATGAGAGTAGGAGAGCAGCTCTCCAGGGAGGGCTATTATGGAAAGAGGAGAGTCAATCAAAGAAGATGTGAACATATTTCTCTGAGGAAAGAGAATTGTCTTCCACTGACAGCAAAGAGGGGGAAGGCCCAAATATAATAAATTCTGCATCAGATAACCTTGGCAAGGTTTCTTAATTTTTCTGAGCTTTTCAGATCTGTAAAAATGGGTCTAATACTGTCCTTACAGGATCTGTGAGAATTTGAAATCAAACCTGTAAATGCTTAGCTCACAGCAGGCACTCAGTAAGTAGGATCTCTTACTATTATCCTCCATTTCCCCAAGCAGATGGCACTGAAACAGGGCTTGAGACAAGGGTGGTGTCTGACACAAGACTGGAGCAAGGCATGTATGCATGCCATCCCACTCCCTGAGTATACAAAAGATGGGAAGAGGGTGCCAGAATTGGATATGGGAGCCATAGCTGCAGAAAATCTAAGCAGAAGCAGCTAGTCTTCCCCCTGGCAACTCCATGTGAAAGGGGCAAGTAGGGGATTCTTGGGAGCAGCACACCAGGAAACAGTAGAAAGGGGCAAAGAAATACTCCTGATTCTCCTAAACCCGGAAGAGCCTGTCATTCAGAAGTTCAAGTTGATGGGAAGGATTCAGCATTAGCCATCTCACTACTCCTTTACACAAAGCTCTAGTTTATTCACTCATGCACACATTCATTCTTTTTCATGAGCAAATACAACTAAAGGTATACAACTAAAATTCTTGATTTCACTCATACAACTAAAGGTATACAACTAAAATTCTTGTGCTTTCAATTAAAACACTTTTATATTTATATTATGCTTTAGTAGTAATATATCTCATGTCTATCAATTGCTAAACTGTAAACTCCATGAGTGTGGAGACCTTGGATAACTTGAATATAAAATTAACACTTTAGTATCATAAATAGGCACCCTGAAATGAACATGAGTTAGAAGACTAAAGTTAAAAGGTAAAAGAGCTAAAAGGAAATGGATTTTCCTTTAGCTGTTTTTTGATTAAGTTATCATAAAAAAACAAATATGTTCTGGGTGAAATCCTAAATGAATTTGGATGTGGATTTCCCAAACCTATATCCCCTTAATGATGTGTGCGATAAGACAACAGAAAGAAAGAAATAAAAACTTGAATTGAGATAGTTATGAAATAAAAATTAAAATGCTACAGGCTTTAACTTGTCTTTGTTTTAAAAATTTGCCTGTGAAGTATCATGACCATGCCGAGTGAAAACAAGTTTCATAGAGAAGACAGTAATTTTGTGTACTAATCTAAATAATCTATAATGCTGGCCTTCTACAATACAAGTAAGTTATGCTCTAAAAATTCAACTGTAAATTGGTTGCTTAGAGCTTGATATATTTTCACAAGGAAACCATGTACCAAGCCACAGAAGCACGCTGGAACCTTCTGCAGTCACTTGGAATGTTGTTTCTAGGGAATAATTCATTCTGAATTTGCTGCACCTCTGGCCCTGAGAGCTAAGACTTCCCAGTAGCATTGCTTTCGATCTGGTTTCCCATCTCCTTCTCCCCACTTCTGTACCAGCTCCACCAAAGCAATTAGGAGCCTCAGAATGACTTTGGCAAGGATTCTCCTGGAGCCTGAAGGTCCCCAGTAGTGGGAAGGAGAAAATTTAAAGCCTCTAAGCCAAAAGAAGCCATAGAAAAAGGAGAGAATGGAGGGCTAAGTAGACATTTTTGCCGCATTGATGGGAAGTGAGTTCTAAGCAAGACAGATGTTCTTTGTAAAAAGTATGTGCAATGACAGATTAAGTCTGGAATTGCCCCAAATATAAACACTTGAATCTAGGTAGTGCATATGCAAGTGATCAT